AGAGAGAGAGAGAGAGAGAGAGAGACGGAAAGAAATAAAGCAAGATCGAAGGTAAACCTGGCAAGAAGAAAGTTGAATGGTACGCACCTTGACCGCGAAACTCAGATCCCAGATCGAAAGCACGCTGTCGCCGCGTTGATCGATGCAGCACGTCCCGATGGAAGGGTCATCACACTTCCGGCGTGTCCGTCGTCGAGTCACCGGCGGATCCACAAAACGTTGTCGAACGTGTGTCGACGAACGCGCGCACCGAGTCACCAGCCGTGGAACGTTCGTCAACGGCGTCTCGAGAACGAAGAACAACGAACGACGAGAGCGAAACCAAACCGAAACTAAAAGGAACGTAACCGAGACGAGACGAGGAGAATCGTGCGTGGTTCACCGTTGATCGCTCACTGGACGCGCGTGGACCAATCGACACGGTGCTGGTGCGTGCACTGTGACATGTCAGGTGGTGATTTTCATCTGTCGGGCGAACTCGACGGAAGCTCGCCGCGACTTGAACTGACCGCGCAGCGAGAACCGACGCGTAGAACGGAAGTCTGGGATCGGTGATCGATGACACCGGTGTGGATTAGGCCGCGGCTGCGACGCGTGTCAGAAGCAGAGGGAAGAAGAACAGCAGCAACGGATCCAACGCGCGTAGATAGAGAGCGAGCAACGCCGGATCAGAGCAGTGGCTTGGCTCGGATCAGACTGAGCCGAGTTAACCGAAGGATTCAGATGTGCCTTTACCTTGCGCGCCTTCCTTTCCTTTCCTTTCCTTTCCTTTCCTTTCCTTTACCTTTCCTTCGCCGCGCGTTCCGTCTCGCTCACGCGCGTTCACGTCTCGTGCTGTTCACTCTGTTAATCGTGATAGCGTGGACAGTGACGTAGCTCGCCGCTCGGAACTCTTCCTTCGACCATTTCGCTCGGCCGTCTTCTTCTTCTTCTTCTTCTTCTTCTTCTTCTTCTTCCCCGTGCACGAAAATTGCGGCACGTCACGCGACCACCGAAGCCTTTTCAACGCCGATTGTTGCTTGGTTAAGTTGTTGCGATTACGCGGCCGATCCCAGTGGCCGCGTTAAGGCCGCTACCACGAATTCTTCGCCGAAATCGAACTGTTTCGAAATTGGTAATTGTCAGAAATGGTGGAACAGTAATTGTTGATGCAAATCGATATGACAGACATCAGTTTGATTATTGATAATCGTTATAGTTTAATAGTTATGCTCTAGCTCATTACTTGCTGAACTTAAATATTATAGAATTATAAATTTCAAGTTTGAATTACTCGAACTTATATATACTAAATAAAACACTAATTTGGCATGTTATTAGTTATTAGTCGTTTATCTCCTGCAGTATATCCTGCACGTATTCATTATACTATCTCTGCAGCGAATAAATCAATCTTTCAAAATACGAATTTTTAAATAATAATTTCCCGCCATTTTATACGAGTTGCAGCAATAAGAAAACTACATTTAGTTTAAAAACTTATACTCTATTTAGAACAGTTGTGTCTAATTTGAAAATTAAACAAAACACTCGTTTCAATAAGAAAAATAACCAACCAACCAGCAAAAGAATTATAGCTGACTTTTCTTGTTTAGCTGAAAACGCTACTCCATTTGCATCCCCGTGTACCCGAGAGAAACGATACGGCACTGCATGTAAGCACAGCAAAGCGTCTGTCCCTTTCTCCGTCGAAGACCTCGGCCTCGTGCCCATCATTCTTCCTAATACTTTGGTACACGCCGCAGAGAAAAGAAGCTCCGTAAAAACGTGTTGCTCCATAATGCCCATGCAATCGAGTTGACTTCCTAAAAATAAAAGGCAACACGCGACATGTGAATTAAAAGACTGAAAAGAACAGAGAGAGAGAGAGAGAGAGAGAATGCAAATGAGAGTAGGAAAGATCCATTTTGAATCGTCTCCGTTCGACACTGAACCACTCTTCTGACGTATCGTTGTTTCAAAAGGCTGTTCTCTATTCTCGATTTACAAGCTAACAGAGCGAATAGAGCAACCGGATAATTTATTTAGCGCCACGGAACGGAAATTGACGGAGGAGCGTCCTGTTTGAAACAGGTGTTACTGACGCGTGTTTCGAGGTGCAGCCGTGGCGCTTTCAAACGATGCCGGCGTTTCTTCTCCAAGGCTTACCGTGAATTAGTATTTCGAACGCGAGTGACGTTTGCAAAATATTTACGCACACGTTCACAGCGAATACGTGTCGTCATTATGAGCAAACACCGGTATATTGTAGATAACACTGAATATGAAAGTATCGTTACTTTACTGATAAAAATGTCATCGTAAATCTGTAGCAGACAATCTGTAATACTTCGAGAAAGAATATGAAAAATCACTGATATTCGGCAAAGTACTTAATCCCGAAGCAAATTTAAGTTGATCGTGTATCAACAAAGAAGAGATCTTGTATCAATTATCTTGTCATTTTTCTACGATAATTGTCCGAAAACCGTCGATTTGAAATTCCACGCACGACAACTGTTTCTAAATTAAATAATCGTTTCTCGCGAACAAAGTGTCAACTTCAGAGTCATTAGTGCTGCGCTCTTCAGACGTGTTGAAGAACTAAAAAGCGAGTCTGTCGGTAACAAAGATCTCGTGATAAAATTATTTTCTTGCGGCAGTGAATCACTGTCGTTCACCTTGCAGCAGAATAAAAAAGAATTACGCGTCATAAATCGTTAATAAAAATTCTAATTTATCAGATTTCTTTATCGCCATATGGTACATCGTTATCTAAATTGGAAAAGTTCCGAGAGATCTAGTGATTTTTTGCGTCACGTTGCCGACAATGCTCGCAACTAAACTTGTATATTTTGTGAAGATTACTACGTGTGTGGTTCCTGTTAGATCATGTTTTGATATTTTTATGCCAATAAGTTATGTAGTTTTGCCAAAATATGCAGTGCATATAACCACGATAAACGGTGTTCAAATAGTTGTTAAAAGGTACGTGTAACACTAAGTGTCGACGTGTAAAATGGCGTGGTTCGGTGACGGGCTGCCTAGCTTGTCGAATTTAAAGGGACAATTAACAAGCTTTACGAAGGAAGTCTTATCGGAGGGCATTGTGGAGGAAATGGGTATGTGTAAACTTCCTCAAATCATGTAATCAACGTGAATCATAGTCTATTATCGCGTAACGTAAATTACTAACGACTGTCAATGTAAGAGTTTGTTTTATCGAGCGAGTATGACACAAAGTGGCGGGAAATTCGAAACGTAAAGACGAAACGTAACTTCAAACAGTAAATATCATTATTTATGGTTTTGTCACAAGTAATTATTCTAAACTCTTTTGCATAGACGAGCGATCGAGAGCATTGAAGGAAGCAAACGAGAAATGCGTCGAGTTGCAAGAAATATTAAACTCGAAAGACGCTGAAGTAAGTATTTTATTTTTGGAATCGCTAATTAATAATTTATTAACTATCATCTATTTTTAACTGTCCTCTTTTTACATAAGAATGCCATTAAAAATATCGTGAAAAAAAAATGATCTTATTATAGACTGTATGTATAAATATTATAATGTTCCAAATAATTTTCTGAATTTTCTAGCTAGCTGGATATAAAATTGCTTTGTTTATTTCTACATTTTACTAAGTTGTTATATTTCTACAATATCTTTAAATCTCGTATCAATGATTGTATGAATCGATCAAATGACATATCTTGTTGCAAATTTTTTACGTTCACACAGATGTCGATCATCTTGATAAGGATCATTCTGCGGTTAAGAATTATTTTAACAGATGTTACTTTCCATATTAAACGGAATTGAGTACTGAGTAAACACGTTTACCTTATCTCGTATGACACTATCCCCGAATCCTTTCAATCCTCGACAAGATAGGATGTTATCCTTCATTACATAAGCTATCAATCATGTTTCTCACGTAATAAAACGGTGCCATTATGATATCATCTGAAGCATATTTTTCAATATATAAGGGCATCGAATCTTAAATCAATAAGTTTCGTATTTTACATGTGATCTCTAAATTTTTATAAACGTAACCAAAGGAAATGGAATCTAAACAGAAATTTGTTTTATCTATCTATCTACTTTCGACGTACAACGCGATTA